GAAATATATATAATTGTTACTATTCTAGGAATGAAAAGAAAACAAATGTCCTGCAGCCAGAAGAGAAACGAACAGTGGCTTATCACGAAGCCGGACATGCTGTAGCCGGTTGGTTCTTGCAGCATGCAGATCCATTGTTAAAAGTCTCCATAATACCTCGAGGAAAGGTTTAGGATATGCACAGTATCTACCAAAGGAACAGTATTTGTATACGAAGGAACAATTATTTGATAGGATGTGCATGACTTTGGGGGGCAGAGTCTCAGAAGAGTAAGTAGAAAAATATTTAAATTACACATCAACACTTTGAGCCTGGTGCCAAATTTTCTGTATTTTTTGTTCAGCCAACAGTGACAGTGTCAAAATTTCATTGAAATTGTATTGGATAACATTTTATTAAGAGTAATTTTACTTTTTGCTGTCAAAAACAATGCAAGTTTGCAATATACATTATCATGAGTCTTTTATCCCAGGTTATTCTTCAAGAGAATCACAACAGGTGCTCAGGATGATTTACAAAAAGTCACCAGAAGTGCCTATGCCCAAGTAGTTCATTATGGTATGAATGAGAAAGTGGGCAACGTCAGCTTCGATATGCCACAACCTGGTGAAATGGTCACAGATAAACCTTATTCTGAAAGTACTGCTCAAATTATTGACCAAGAAGTTAGGACTTTGATTAAAGCAGCGCATGTGCACACAACACAGCTGTTGACAAAACATAAAGAAGATGTAGTCAAGGTAGGAAAGATGGAAATGAATAATAATGAAAAGAATAATAGTGCAAGAAGTGAAACTTTTTAATGTAAAAGTTACAATAAGGGTGAAAATTGATTCTAGTGTACTCATATTTTGTTTGTTTAAGATATAATTTTATTTTTTTAACTTTAATTCATTAAGATTTAATTATATTACTGTTTTTTCAATTTAAAAATTTTCAATATTTTTTATATCGTTTTGAGACGATTCACAATATTCTCAGACAATCAACATTTTCAGATGGTGTACAACACATCAAGGTGTTTTTTAGACTGTGTACAACATTTTTAAACTGTGTACAAGATTTTTAGACTGTGTACAAGATTTTTAGACTGTGTACAAGATTTTTAGACTGTGTACAAGATTTTTAGACTGTGTACAAGATTTTTAGACTGTGTACAAGATTTTTAGACTGTGTACAAGATTTTTAGACTGTGTACAAGATTTTTAGACTGTGTACAAGATTTTTAGACTGCGTACAACATTTTTAGACTGCTTACAACATTTTTAGACTGCGTACAACATTTTTAGACTGTGTACAAGATTTTAGACTGTGTACAAGATTTTTAGACTGTGTACAAGATTTTTAGACTGTGTACAAGATTTTTAGACTGCGTACAACATTTTTTGACTGTACAACATTTTTAGACTGCGTACAACATTTTTAGACTGTGCACAACATTTTTAGACTGCGTACAACATTTTTAGACTGTGCACAACATTTTTAGACTGTGTACACAACATTTTTATACTGTGTACACAACATTTTTAGACTGTGTACACAACATTTTTAGACTGTGCACAACATTTTAAGACTGTGCACAACATTTTAAGACTGTGTACACAACATTTTTAGACTGTGTACACAACATTTTTAGACTGTGTACACAACATTTTTAGACTGTGTACACAACATTTTTAGACTGGTACAACATTTTTAGACTGTGCACAACATTTTTAGACTGTGCACAACATTTTTAGACTGTACACAACATTTTTATACTGTGTACACAACATTTTTATACTGTGTACACAACATTTTTATACTGTGTTACACAACATTTTTAGACTGTGTACAACATTTTTAGACTGTGCAAACATTTTAGACTGTGTACAACATTTTTAGACTGTGTACACAACATTTTTATACTGTGTACACAACATTTTTATACTGTGTACACAACATTTTTATACTGTGTACACAACATTTTTAGACTGTGTACAACATTTTTAGACTGTGCACAAACATTTTAGACTGTGTACACAACATTTTTAGACTGTGTACACAACATTTTTATACTGTGTACACAACATTTTTAGACTGTGTACACAACATTTTTAGACTGTGTACACAACATTTTTAGACTGTGTACACAACATTTTTAGACTGTGTACACAACATTTTTAGACTGCTTACAACATTTTTAGACTGTGCACAAATTTTTAGACTGTGTACACAACATTTTTATACTGTGTACACAACATTTTTAGACTGTGTACACAACATTTTTAGACTGTGTACACAACATTTTAGACTGTGTGTACAACATTTTTAGACTGTGTGTACAACATTTTTAGACTGTGTGTACAACATTTTTAGACTGTGTGTACAACATTTTTAGACTGCGTACAACATTTTTAGACTGCGTACAACATTTTTATACAGCGTACAACATTTTAGACTGCATACAACATTTTCGACTGTGTACAATATTAATTCTAGATTTTGTACAATATTTTTAGACTGTGTGCAACATTTCTAGACTGTGTGCAACATTTCTAGACTGTGTGCAACATTTTTAGACTGCGTGCAACATTTTTAGACGATGTAGAATATTTTCAGACTAGCTACATAATTTTTAAACATCACATTTTCAGACTGTGTACAACATTTTTGGACCCTGTACAACATTTTTGGACCCTGTACAACATTTTCAGACCATCTACAAATTTTCAGACTAACTGCAACATTTTTAGACTGTGTACACAACATTTTTAGACTGTGTACACAACATTTTTAGACTGTGCACAACACTTTTAGACTGTGTACTACATTTTTAGACTGCGTACTACATTTTCAGAAAGTGTACAACTTTTTTGAACCCTGTACAACATTTTCAGACCAATTCTACAATATTTTCAGACTAACTACAACATTTTTATACATCCTACAACATTTTCAGACCGCGTACAACATTTTTAGACCGTGCATAACATTTTTAGACTGCGTACAACATTTTTAGACTGCGTACAACATTTTTAGACTGTGTACTACACTTTTAGACCGTGCACAACACTTAGACTGTACAACATTTTCAGACTGTGTACAACATTTTTAGACTGTGTACAAGATTTTTAGACTGCGTACAACATTTTAGACTGTGTAAAACATTTTTAGACTGTGTACAAGATTTTTAGACTGTGTACAAGATTTTTAGACTGTGTACAAGATTTTTAGACTGTGTACAAGATTTTTAGACTGTGTACAAGATTTTTAGACTGTGTACACAACATTTTTAGACTGTGTACACAACATTTTTAGACTGTGTACACAACATTTTAGACTGTGTACAACATTTTTAGACTGTGTACAACATTTTTAGACTGCATACAACATTTTTAGACTGCATACAACATTTTTAGACTGTGTAAAACATCTTTAGACTGCGTACAACATTTTTAGACTGGGTACAACATTTTAGACCCAGTACAACAGTTTTAGACCCAGTGCAACAGTTTTAGACTGCGTACAACATTTTTAGACTGCGTACAGCATTTTTAGACTGCGTACAGCATTTTTAGACTGCGTACAGCATTTTTAGACTGCGTACAGCACTTTTAGACTGCGTACAACATTTTTAGACTGTGCGCAACATTTTTAGACTGTGTACGCAACATTTTTAGACTGCGTACAACATTTTTAGACTGGGTACAACATTTTTAGACTGCGTACAACATTTTTGGAACCTGTATGACAACATTTTCAGACCACACCTACAATATTTTCAGACTAACTACTACATTTTTAGACTAACTGCAACATGTTTATACATCTCACAATATTTTTAGACTGTGTAGAATATTTTCAGACTATCTACATCATTTTTAAACATCACATTTTCAGACTGTATACAACATTTTTGGACCCGGTACAACATTTTCAGACCAACAACAATCTTTTCAGACTAACTGCTATATTTTTAGACCAACTACAACATTTTTATACATCTTACAACATTTTTAGACTGTGTGGAATATTTTCAAACTGGCTACATCATTTTTAAATATCACATTTTCAGACTTTGTACATCATTTTTTGGACTCTGTACAATATTTTCAGACCTTGTACAAATTTTCAGAGTAACTGCAATATTTTTAGACCAACTACAACATGTTTATACATCTTACAACATTTCTAGACTGTGTGGAATATTTTCAGACAAGCTACATTATTTTTAAACATCACATTTTCATACTTTGTACATCATTTTTGGACTCTGTACAATATTTTCAGACCTTCTACAATATTTTCAGAATAATTGCGACATTTTTAGACCAACTAACACATTTTTATACATCTTACAACATTTTTAGACTTAGAATATTTTCAGACTGTGTAGAATATTTTCAGACTAGCTACGAGTACATTATTTTTAAACATCACATTTTCACACAGTGTACAATATTTTTGAACCATGTACAACATTTTCAGACCAACTACAATATTTTCAGACTAACTGCAATCTTTTTATACACCTTTATATAGACAAGACCATGCACAACATTTCTAGATGGTGTACTACTTTTTTAGACTGTGTACAACATTTTCAGACCAACTGCGACATTTTCAAACCAACTGAAATATCTTTATTCATCTTACAACAGTTTTAGACTGTTTACAACAGTGGTCGGGGAACTTTTGGAACCATTACCCCAAAATATTTTTGTGCAACCTCTCATTACCCCACAAAAAAAAATTAACTAAAAGAGCCTATAATTGGAATCCCGCAGATTAACGGTTTGCTACATTGTTTGTTACTTCTAAACTTTGAAGAAGGCTGAAACAATTGGTTTGAAGGAAACAATAAGTAAAAACTATATTCTTTATGAATAAATATATTTTTCATGAAAATCCTACTAATGAATGAATAAACTAGGGGTGAATGGCATCATGCCTTACGGCAAATTGCTAGAACTTTCCGCACCGTGACGAAATGTTCGAGGAATTTTAAATACTTTCAATTAGATTATTATAAATCCTGTAACATTATATAATATTCATAAAATATATATAAGCTGAATTACAAAATTAAAATTATTTATTTGAAGTATATAAGTGAGCTATAGAACTTTAGCCAGAATTAAAATTAAAATCAGAATTATTTTCGATATACAAAGAAAAAATTGATTTTTTTTCCCCAAAAGTAATTGTTTTGTCAACACAAACTGCAAGTTTTTTTAATCATTCAAATCGGATGCTTAGTTCTCTCAGAAACTGCCATTTTTGTACATTGAGCTCTGTTTCTTTGCAATGGCTGGACCTGCCTTTGCCAAAACCTAATCACTACTTTTCCCAATCATTACAAATTGAATGTTTTCTGGATCATTCAAATGAGATACTCCGTTCTCTCACAAACTCGATTTCTATTTTCTGCACTCCTTTGCCAAATACTAATCAGCATATTTCGCTATCAATAGGAACCAAATGTTGAATGAATCATTCTAATCGGTTCATCCGAGCGCTCGAAAACGCGAACGAAAAAATGCGGATACACAAAACACACACACATCCATTTTCTCTGAGGTATGGCAAAATGTTCAAAAACCTCTGAAACTTGAAGAAATGCAAAAATTTTCATTTTCGATTTTCGGCCCATTACTATTATATAATTTACCCTACGGAAGTTAACAATAATGCCACAAGTGACAATAAACACGCACATATGTAATGTAAGAACATTACGATTTGGAGAAACGGTATTGCTTCATCTTTGACACAATTTCTTCAAAATTTTGACTTTAACATGTCAGAGCAATTTTAATACAATCTTCGGCATTCAATCTATTTCTCCTCGAATTTATGTTTATCAGAGTGGAAAGGTCTGGTTTGCACAAATATGTGGTTCCAAATGGCAGCAATTTTCTTACCGCTTCTTCATGTGCTATTTCAAAACCCTTTGCAGCTTTTGGCATTCAAAAACATGGCAGGTTTTGTTCACTCCCAAATTCAATACATGCTTCCAGAATTGATTCTGCCAAACCTGCAGGTTTTTCCGGTACAATCCAACTCACAATACGTGTATCCAGATCTGGAAAGTAATCCAAAAACCGCACTCTCAGGTGAAGTAATATTATCACAATCCTCCAAAAACAAAGCATAACCTTGGTAAAAATATGCTATCTTGTTCTCTTCTACTTTCTGCCTTCAATATTCCAGCTTTGAACCAAATCCCAACAATATTTCTCTCGCTGAAATAATATTAATATGCTTTAATTTCCCTTTAATTCTTTGTTTAATATATTTATGCTTTCAAAAATGTCTGCTAAATATGCGAGAAATGAACCACAGGAAGAGTTTTCAAAATTTTCAGCAACAATACTTGTTTGAGAAACCATAGAGATTTCAGCTTCATTTTTAAGAATCCGTACTCGATTTAAAATATTTACGCGAGAGAGCCACCGTACTTCTGTATAATAAAGGAGGTCGGTCTCAACTTTACCATCCTGACATAATTCACAAAATAGCCGCGTATTTAGTGCATGTCTCTTGTTAAAATTTATAATCTTGATAGCATCATGAGTGTGGGTTATTTTCCCTTACAAAAGCTGAAAAACGATAAATATGACCCAGCATAGCTGAAGTTTCATCAGAATACACCAAATTGCAATTTTTCCATTTTAATCTTTGCGCTTTGAAATATTCGTTTACTTTATTATAAATATCTATTTCACGACATCTGAACTCAAAAAAAAAAAAAACAAAAAGCAATTCCTTTCCAGAATTATCTACACATTCATAGCAGACATATATCAGTTGTGAATTACTACTGAAATCCGTTTTCTCAAGCTGAATAGCAAAATATTTAGTTTGTTTTAATGAAAAACTTCACATTTTTTTGCCAATGCAAGAGATTCTTTTCGGTAGTAGGTTTTACTGAAGCTGATTTAAAACAAGCAAGATATTTAACTTGTTTTAGTGCGAAAATTACTTATTCCTTCATATTTTCTGCTAATGCAGAAATTCTTTCCGATAGTAGGTTTTACTGAAGCTGATTTTGTGCTTCGCAAATATATACTTTTTACCCCCAAAAATTCCACTTTTACCCCATTTGGGGTAATTTACCCCGGTTCCCCGACCACTGGTTTACAACATTACCGTGTACAAGATTTTCAGTCTGTTTACAACATTTTCAGGTCATGTACAACACATACAATTTATAAAATTTTCATTCACCTTTTAGCATTTTTATACATTTTACATTTCCCAGTTGAATGTTTATAACCCAATCTTATTGAAAGTCAACATTAGAAGTTTCACTTAAAAAATGAACGTAAATGAATTACATAAAAGTATATGTATATATGTATTTATAGGTAGCTGAAAGATTATTGAAAAAAGAAATTCTGAGTCGGGAAGACATGATTGAACTTTTAGGCAAGAGACCCTTCCCTGAAAAATCTACATATGAAGAATTTGTAGAAGGTAAGATTAAAAAATAACTTTATTAATATAAATATATAATTATTTTCAAGAAATATTCTTTAATGAGTAAACTTTTAACTGCAATCTTACAATAATCTTTTGCTTTTATTTTCTTTCATCAAGTGCGACTCCACCATAATGCTACTAATAATGTAATAATAATATAATTGAAATTGTTGTCTGTTGCCCTCATCAGCCATTGAATTTAAATATATATATATATATATATATATTTTGTTTATTTGTTTATCTATTTATCTATTTCTCTCTAGGTACGGGTTCCTTCGAAGAAAATACACAATTGCCAGAAGGTCTCCTAGGATGGAACAAAGAGCAGCAGGCGAAAGACAAAAAGGGGCCTGCTGAAATATCCACCGAAAGCAAAAACCCTCCAGCGTGATCAAATTTGGCCAGAACACTCACAGTAGTAGTAGCGAGATAAATGAATGATATAAATATATACCTGTGTATATATTAATATTGAAATGTATAGAAGTTAAATACATAACCTCAAATATATATCTATATTTGTATATATGTATGTATATTTATATATTAATATATTTATATATTTTTTAGATTTTTTTTGTTTTTAGCTTTTAGAATAGATTTATGAATGTGGAAGGTATTTTTGGATTTTATATACGTACATATATACAAATATACATATACACATTATATATATATATATATATATATATATATATATATATTTATATATATATATATATATATATATATATATATATTTGTGTATGTATATATTTGAATTTTAAGTATTAATATGAATTTATATACATGCATTGTGAACTATAGACTGTTGAAATATATATTATAAAGAACTTAAAAGACACCTTTACTTTTTCAAATTCCCAAACAAATTTCATGTTTTGGCCAGAAAATCTTATTCGACACCAAAATTAGATAATTTGGTACCAAAATTAGAAAATGCATGTGTGTGTGAGACAAAATTTGGCTTTTTGTCTACAATTTCTCAAAAAAGGCTTCACCGTTCTTTAAAATGTAAAAGCCATTTGAAGAAACTTGATATGGAAGAGAATTGATTGTTTTTGCAAAACGATCATGCAAATCGCTTCTTCACAATGTGCAGATAGGTGCAAAAATTCACCCTCTTTTTGCCAGATTTCCTGAACCAATTTTGAAAATTGAAAAACTATTCGAAAGCTATCAGTTGAGAATCGTGCTGATTAGTTTTTGACAAATATCGCGTCATTTCTTTACTATTATTTTTTTCTTAAATTAGCTAATAATAATAAATCATTGTAAGATAAAAAATCATTATAATTGTCTGGAATGTGCAAAAACAAATAGTATTGAAAAGTTTATAAATAAGTTTATGAACATATATATCATCAGAACTTAAAGTAAAACTTCTTTAGTCGCGACTAGAGAGTAAACCTGTGAAAATGCAACGATCATTTCTATACAGGTCGATTTGTGATTGGTCGTCGTGTCACGTGAGAGGATTCTTTCGTTTCGTCAACACAAGCAGAAAGTTTTTCAAATCACTCAAATCGGATGCTTAGTTCTTTCAAAAACTGCTTTTTTTTGCACATTTAGGTCGGTATCTCCAAAACGGCTAGACCAGCCTTTGTCAAGAACAAATCACCACTGCTCCCCGCCTAGACAATATTAGAATACCCTGTGTTCATGTGTGGCTCCCCGTCATTACAAATTGTATGTTTTTTTATCATTCAAATCGGATGCTCAGTTCTCTCAAAAACTCGATTTCTATTTTCTGTACTCTTTGCTCTGTATCTCCGAAATGGCTGGAACCGCCTTTGCCAAAAACTCTTCAGCACAACTCCCTATCAATAGGAATGGAATGTTTTTTAAACCATTCAAATTCGTTGATCCGTGCGCCCGAAATCGTGAATAAAAAATTGTATCTATACATACATACAATCTTCTTTTTATCTATGCATACTTACACACACACACATATCCATTTTTCTAAGGTATGCCAAAATGTTCAGAAACCTTCAAAACGTGAAGAAATGCAAAAATTTTCAATTTCGATTTTTTGATGATTACAATTACTTAGCTTACGGGAAGTTAAAAATAAAATTTGTTATTATGCATTTTTTAAAGTAATATTGGATATTAATTTGTATTCTGATAATATCAGTTATGTATTTATTTATTTATTCAACGCCCAAGGCAATAATACGACAATATAATAACATTTCAAAGTGTACAAATTATAAACAAGACTAGTGGGGCGCATGGCATCTAGCCTTAAGGCAAATTGCTGGAACTTCCCGTACCAAATATTATTTTTTTAAAAAACGATTAACATTTTTGAAAAAATTTTACTTCGAAAAATTAGATTTTTGGGAAACTAGGACTTTGACAAAAAATTACTTTTTTTGAAACAAAATTTGTTTTTTGAAAAAAAAAATGTTTTCTTTATTTTTGACATATTTTAGAAATTCTGAACTTTTTTTCAAAGCAATTGTACTGCTTTAACTGCATAAAGTCAAAATGTCAAAGCGCGTAAGCGCCGCGTTGCCGTCTAATGAATAAACATTGGTACGGAACCTATAGGAATGCAAACAAAATTTATACTTATTGTTATAATCTCTATAAAATATCTGATAATTTGATGTGCATATGTCTAATGATCATTTTTGACCGCCAAATAGCATTTTTTTTACTTTTTTTATTAGATCTCCGAAATCGTTAGACCTGCCTTTATAAAAAATTGATCAGTTCTTCATCTTGTCAATACAATTAAAATGATTTTTGAATTATTAAAATCGGACGCTCCGTTCTCTTAAAAACTGAGTTAAGTGAACGGCTAGACCTGCCTTCGCCAAAAACTAATCAGCACGTCTCCTTATCAATATGAATCGAATATTTTTTGAATTATTTAAATCGGTTGATCGGTGTTCCCGAAATCGTCGACAAAAATTTTTGTCCGCACACACACACACGCACACATACACACACACACATACATTGATTTTTTCTAAGGTATGCCAAAACGTTCAGAAACCTTTGAAACGTAAAGATATATAAAAAATTTCATTTTCGATTTTTTTGCGATTACTATAACTTGCCCTACGGGAAGTTAATAATATGTGAGAAAATTAGAGTATTAAGAGTTCATAGATAGCTTTGTATATATTTATATAATAGTAAAGTATGTAATAGTATTTATAAAATTAAATTGTTAAAAAAGTTAATGGGGGCACAACCATTTTTTTATTAGAGCGGGGGAAGCGGTTTAAAAAAGGTTGGAAGCCACTGCTTTATCGCTTTGAATGTTGGTACATTGCTTTCGCCGCCATGTTTTACAGGTTGGACACTTGAGTGAAAATATTCAATATGGCGAAAATGTTTGTGATTAAACTATCAAAATTAAAGTAAATTTAAATTAAATTCTAATTTATTTAAGTTTTATATTATAAGTATAATAATATAAGTAATTAAAAATGTCTCAAGTTTCAGTTATATTTCCAAGTGTTGACAAAATTAAAGAAGAACCCATTGATTATGTGGAAGAAATGGAAGTTACTTTAGAAGATTTTAAGGAAATAAAATCTGAACCAAATTTAGAAGACGATGAAATTTGTTTAAATAGATTCTTAAAATCCGAAGTGACTGTAGAAGAAGAAGTTAAACCACAATTAGACAATAAAGAAGAACAAAAGTCTATCAACAAAAGTGCTCAACTAGATACCAAATACCACAGCTGTAAAATTTGTTTCAAGGCCTTCAAATTGAGAAGTAATTTAGATAAGCATATGTTTGATCATATCGGTAATGAATCTTTCAAATGCAACTACTGCGACATGTTATTCATGTCTGCAATTGATTTAATGACACATCTCAAAGACCATCCTGACGATTCACCTTTAAAATGTGAAGTATGCTCTGTAGGATTTTCAGACATCGATATGTTAACCCAACACATGCAGTCTCACACAAAAGAACCTCCTTATAAGTGTGAGTTTTGTGATAAAGGTTTTACTAATTTAACAAAATTCGAAGATCACTTAATCATGCATTCTGGAGAACGTCGTTACAAATGTGATTTATGTAACAAACTTTTCAAGCATGCAGGTAGTTTCCGAAGACACTGTCTTGCTCACACAGACCTTCCTCATAAATGTGAAATTTGCAAACAAGCATTCACTGAACGATATGAGTTAGTAAACCATCTCAAACAACAACATAACGATGATATTTCAGTAAGAGCGCAAATCTCTTTTGACTCCCCCAGCCATCCTTATAAATGCGAAACGTGTGGCAAATCATTCAAGCAACCGGGTGGTTTAAAACACCACAAGTTCATACACACGGGTGAAAAAATGTTTAAATGCGGTATATGTGATAAGGCTTTCAGACAAGTAGGATGTTTGAATCGTCATTTAAAGATTCATACAAATGGGTGCCCCCATCTGTGTAATGTGTGTAATAAGTCATTTCAACAAGCTGATAGTTTAAAACAGCATATGAATGGTCACGAGGGGGTTAAGCCTCATAAATGTGATGTGTGTGATAGGACATTTAGTCTGCCGGGCAATTTGAGGAAACATAAAATGACTCATAGGGGAGAACTAAATTATGAGTGCGATATATGTGCGAAATCTTTCGTGCAATCTGATTATTTAGTCAATCATAGGAAAACACACTTTAAATAAATTGTAAAGAAATTTTATTTAAATAATAAATTGAACATTATTTAAAAATTGTAGATACTCATTGTCAGTATATTTAAGATTGTCTGATATATTCATTATCATAATCGTGGGAGGTAAACATAGAACAAATGCGCTTTTTTACTCTGTATGAGTGTTTTCAGCATATCACAGATGGTGCTACTGTGCTTCAAATTCATTGTTTGTTTTAAAACACAGTCTCTTAATATTTAACATTTTTTGAATGAAAAAAATGTTAAAACTTTATATGTTATGAGTTTTTTTGAACCAGGAATTTTTGCTCATTAAATATCTCTATCATGTAGGTACTCCTAATAAACTAATTCTAAGTATTTAATTATTAAATATACAATATATGAATTATAGTAATATCGCATAAGATAGGTATATATAAATTAATAACACTATTGTAAACTATATACAAAGAAATAACAGAAATACAATTCTTTAAAACTAAATTAAAAACTATGTTAAAACTTTTTCTTATTATATATTTTTTACTACATATTTGTGATTTTGTTGGAAATATATTTTATACACCTATATTTTGTTCTCATTTCTTGTAATCAGGTTTATCTTTTCTATATTATATATTTATATAAATCTTATCTAGAATTGAACCTAAGGGTAAATTTACGTGCTACGGTTAGTGGCGACATCTATGATATGCTGAAACAATTAAAATTCTTGTAATTTCAAAGCGGCCGTGTTTGCCATCTGTTTATACTTGTTTATTTTGAACCTATATATATTTATTAACTTTCCATTGGGGTAAGTTATAGTCATGTTATAGTAATCGCAAAAAAATCGAAAATAAATTTTTTGCTTATCTTCACGTTTCAGGGGTTTCTGAACATTTTGCCATACCTTAGAACAAATGGATGTGTGTATGTGTGTGTGCGTGCATTTGTTTAGATGATATTTTTCAT